CTTCAAGACAAGCGTCAAGTCTTCCCGAAAATATTTCGTGCACTTCAATTGGACAAGACTCACTAGTCACTACCAATCCCCGTTGACTCGATAGCTCAATGGGTAGAACGGCGGTCTACTGTAGATACCCATAGTTAATAGAATAGATGGTTTGGAAACTCATTATAATAACAATATAGCTCATTAGTCAACGTTTATTCATAAATCTGGTCGTTCACCGTCACGTGTGTATTGTAATTTTGCCCAACTAACCAATAGCAATGTCTTAGGAAAGTTACCTATCCGTGACTCGAACAATAGGGTAAATTGAAAATTGCTATTGGTGGATTTGGCAAAAATACAATACACACGTGACGATGAACGACCATGTTTATGAATAAACGTTGACTAACATAGATAATGAGTTATACTGTTATTCTAATGAGTTTCCAAACCATCTATTCTATTAACTATGAGATACCCAAAGATGCAAGTTCCAATCCCTGCTCGAGATAAAATTTGTTTGTTGTTCTCTGCAGTGTCACTATGAAAATAGGCTACTGTATATACCCTCATGACAAGCAGTGTATGAAATCATTTAGCAATACAGACTTAATGCTTTCAAGTACAGTACATGTAGTTATCTACTATAAACTTTATGAGTTTTAAAACATAAAAGTGTTCAGGTACACCTTTCCCAGAGTTTACCATACTCAATTAATGATTCTCAATACTGAAGTAGTAATAGTTAACCAAATATATACCTTATTTTCTTTAGCTGGACCGTGCTAGCCAGCCGTTCTAATGTTATAGTCTAAAAAGTAAGATTCATGATTTACCAAAACGTGTATAATTATACAGTATAATTATATATTAGTTAAAAAATGAACAATTCACTTTCAACAATACACAAGTCTCTCCTTACTCTCTTCCCTCTGTCAACAACCAGAACACATTCTTTTGGACAAGGTTTCTTAGATCCTCTGTACACAGTGGTGCCTGAGTCCTATCAAACACAATCATATGATTGGGAAGTTTTATATAGTAACACAGCCAAGGTAATTAACCAGAACAGGAAACCAGGTAGAAAGGTATTTTTAAGAATTTATCCAGATTCATGGCAATTGATCAGGATTCATTCAAATATATTGAAACCCTTGGGGTTTCAGTATCAGGTGGAAAATAAAACTTTATATATTAAAAACACTTTGACATTTTCAAGCGCTGCCCCTGATTGAGCACTGCATCTGAGGGCAAAATTATTAAGTCAAACATAACACATTTAATTGAAGCACTGTCTGAAAAATTCTTGGTGACGCCCAACTGCAGAAGGCAAACAGTGTACGAAGATGCAACTTTTAACAAGCTTAGGGTACTTTTTCTCCTGCATTTCAGTGTTTCTATAGTATATTTTGTTGCTAATATTTCTTGTTATGACATAGAAAGTACCGCGGTGCCCTCAAATACTGTACCGGTATGTGCCACAACCGTAATACTAAAAATTTGAGGAGCATGTAATGTACTGTAGATAATAATGTATATAAGTGTCCTAATATTTTATGAATTTTGATTGTATGATGATGGTTACAAAATTAATAGAAATGAAAAGTGACAAAATTGTTAGGGGAGGTGCAACCAATCTCCCTTCAAAAACTGGCCATGCTCGAAACATCAAAGTGTTTTTGGTGCATTAATTGCTAGTATATACCCACGTTTACTGTTTTTTTGTCCAAGTAATTCCCTAGTACAGAGTTACCACAAACAGGGTGGAATAAGAGTAAATTGAAAGAGTGAAAACATAATACCTGTGTATTAGGGAGTGAGACGTTTACTTCACCTCCTTTGCCAACATCAAGACTTCCTGCTTGTGACGTATCAACTGATGCTGGTTTGAAATCATCTACATTCATTTATAGTTCAAATTAATTATTTATCAATGAAAATTATTATTTTATTAATATAAAATGTCATGGAAGAGAGCAATTTAATATGTACGGTAAATATGAAAGGGTTGCACCCTGATGTACCCTACTTTTTTTTTCAATCAGCCAATGCGCCAGGGTGCATTCCATTTCCATGCACTCCACGCAAGAGATCTCCAGCGGGAGAATACAAAATTTGTTGGCGTTTTGGCATGAGATTACTCAAAGACAGGGATTTTAGTCCCTAAAAGTGAAATTTTTGAAATATTGGTGATAGAACAGCTGC